GGGCAGCCAATTGTGATACGCAAAATGATTTGTGTGATGGTGTTTAACTTATTCAATGAAAAATTGCTAGAAATAACTCCATAACCCAGAGTAAAATCATAACTAAAGAAGCAGCACTTGTGATAAGCAAAACAAGTTTTGTGATGTTTCCAACATCATACAACAGCTACTAGGGTGATTGTATTTACCACAAAAGCTAATAGCCACAAAAGTTCTTCAATTCCTTGCTGCAATTTCTCCACAATCTTCTTCCCTGAAACAAAAGACCATTCATTCATCATCATCTAAGTAACATACAGAACAATAAGGAGACATTAAACGCATATATACACACAGACTTACTTGGATCGGTCACACATTGACTTCCTCGAAGCTACCAAGACGATTTCTGAATGCCCATCAAAGCACCTTTATTAGCTAATCCACGGAAACAGATTCGAGACATCCGAAAGAGCTCAGTTACTGAACGAGATCGACCAGTGAACACACATCGGTTTCTAATCCTCGCAAATGCACTGTTTCTCGGCAATTTAGACAGCTTATACCGATTCTTGTCTCGTATATCGCTAGGAAGATCTGGATCTTTACAAAACGCTTTATAAAGCTTCCTTCTAAGCTCGAATCTAGCCGCGAGCAATCTACGTCTGTGATCCGCGCCATTTCGCTTCACACCTTGCTCCCTACCACTATACGGTGATCTCGGTTTGATAGGTGTTGTCGAGATGAGTCTAGATTGAATCTGACTGAGATTGTTAGGATGGTTTACCACGGATCGCCATAAGAGCCCCGATGAAGAATGCGATTGAGAGAAGGAACGTTGGCAATAGGAAGATACGTTGAGGAGGACTCCTCGGAGATTCGCCATTGGATTCGAGAGATCGGTGAAACGTCTCCGCCGCGGAATTTTGGTTTAGGGTTTCTCTGAAAGAGGAGAGGAAAACTACTTTCTACAGGCGACAATGGTTATGGGCTTTTGGGCCTCTTCTGACCCTTTTGGGCTGACCCTTTTTATTAACTAATGGTCTTTTCTTTTTTTTTTTAAGATAAATTATAAATTATAAATTACATTCGTTTTTTATTTTACAATGAATTGTTCTGAGTTGGTGAAAATAATGAGTCGGTTGATTGGTAACATATTTCGATACATTTAGATGTGTTTGTGAGGTTTAATGTTTGTTTTATTCTTTCTCCATCTCACCAGGCCATCTCA